TTTTATCTTGTTCCTTCATCTGATACATAGCCCTCTGCCTTTTCATCTTGTCTGTCTTTCTGTGAATGTGGTTTTTGTTCCACAGGCTGCAGGACTGTAGTTCTTGCTTCTGCTGCCTGTCCTCTGGTGGATGAGGCTATCTAAGAGGCTTGTGAAGGTTTCCTGATGGGAAGGACTGGTGGTGGGCAGAGCTGGGTGTTGCTCTGGTGGGCAGAGCTCAGTAAGACTTTAATCCACTTGACTGCTGAAGGGTGGGGCTGGGTTCCCTCCCTGTTGGTTGTTTGGCCTGAGGCAACCCAACACTGGAGCCTACCTGGGCTCTCTGGTGGGGTTAATGGCAGACTCTGGGAGGGCTCACGCCAAGGAGTACTTCCCAGAACTTCTGCTGCCAGTGTCCTTGTCCCCACGGTGAGCCACAGCCACACCCTGCCTCTGCAGGAGACTCTCCAACACTAGCAGGTAGGTCTGGTTGAGTCTCCTAAGGGGTCACTGCTCCTTCCCCTGGGTCGCAATGCACACATTACTTTGTGTGTGCCCTCCAAGAGTGGAGTCTCTGTTTCCCCCAGTCCTGTTAAAGTCCTGCAATCAAATCCCACTAGCCTTCAAAGTCTGATTCTCTAGGAATTCCTCCTCCCATTGACGGACCCCCAGGTTGGGAAGCCTGACGTGGGGCTCAGAATCTTCACTCCAGTGGGTGGACTACTGTGGTATAAGTGTTCTCCAGTCTGTGAGTCACCCACCCAGCAGTTATGGGATTTGATTTTACTGTGATTGCACCCCTCCTACCATCTCATTGTGGCTTCTCCTTTGTCTTTGGATGTGGGGTATCTTTTTTGGTGAGTTCCAGTGTCTTCCTGTCGATGACTGTCCACCAGCTAATTGTGATTCTGGTGTTCTCACAAGAGGGAATGAAAGCACGTCCTTCTACTCCGCCATCTTGGTTCAGGCTCAGATCAACCTAACTCTTTGAGTGTTAATTTCTAGCTTGTAAAATAAAAGATTATGTTAGGAGGATTTTAAAGATATGAATCTTCCGTCTCTAACATTCTATGATTCTAAAAGTCACTTACAATTTGAGAAGAAAAGAGGAGAAACTGAGATTCAATAAAGGCCTACAATAGGTGTCAGAATAAAGAATAATTTTGACGAAGTCTAGGGGGAAAATATGTCATGACAGGAAAAGGAGAAGAAACTCTAACCTAAATATGACAATTTCAATTTAAAGGGAATACTCTATTAATGGAATTAAATTAATTGGGCATTAACTAAGTATGCTGTTTCACTTTTGGTTAATGCAGTTAATGATAAAAGATGGATTTTGACCGTGGTTGTTGAGAGATAAGGGGAAATGGACTTCGAGAGAAAACGCAGCAATTCTAGACAGGACAGAACTAAACAGAATTCCCGTTGGTGACTCCAAGGCCATCAGTACGTCAAAACTGTATCTATAGAGAAATCAGACTTATATTGGTAAATACAGAAAGAACTGCCAGAGAGAATACAAGGAGTGACTTCTGCAGTTTAAAGCCTACAGAAAGGATAATGATTGCAACAGAAGGTAAATGTTATGAAACACTTACTAGGTTGGGCATTTGGTCCAATATGCTTTACCTTCATTATCTCAATCAATCCTCAAACTGACACTACCATTACAAGCACATTATGGATGGGGAAACTGAGGCTTCAGTTAAGTAATTTGCCCAACGACACTCAGCTGTTAAGTGTCAGAGCCATAATCTGAACCTGGGCTATCTGACTTCAGACTATACTGAATCTCCACTGAATCCAACCCATTCTCTCAAGCGGAAACTGAGGTCCACAACTGGCTAGGAGCAATTTTAACAGTTATTGTGTGATTTGGCCTCTTAACATTTCATGTATTTTCATACCTTACTAAATATAACTGCCACCGAGGTGAAACTTTAATTTTTGTTTATAAAAATGATATATAGTGTCTTTTAAAATATGATTTGTACATGCACGTAGATTCACTTAATTTTGGATGGGATGATACTCCTCATTTATTGGTACTCAATCACCTTGATCCTATGAAATCAAAGAGAATAATGAGAATGTATTTTTAAATAGACTTTTAAGTTTAGTTATAAATTATCACAATAAAAACTAAGTCTTATGATAAAATATAGAAAAATTTAAGTTGGGAAGCAAGTAATAATCGATAATCAAACTTGTTATTTTCTATTAATACACAAATGCGAAAAATAGGCTCATTCGATGTTCAGGGTAAGTCAACTACTGGCATGCAGCATAGAGTGATATGTTTTTCATAAGATGTTCAAGGGAAGGGAAAATGCAAAGGGCTGGCGTGTTGAGTTTTTTTGTTTGTTTGTTTTGTTTTTTTAAGCAGCTGCAATGAATTGAGTTATTAAAGTAATAATAACATTCAAATATAATTATATTTTTTCATACATATTCCTTTATGTCTCCTAACCTCCAAATAAAAGAAAATAAATAATGTTTGCATATATACATGCAAGTGCTTGGGGGTAGTGGTCTTGAAGGGGTAAATGAATGAGCCGTGAGAAAAATGAATACTTGCAGGCTAAATCTAGACAGACGTTATAATCCATCACTGATTCCTAAAGGGCACCAATAATATGCAAATGTGAGAATTAGAAAACACATTCAAGGCTGTTGATAAACTTGATAGGATAATCAGCACATGTTGACAGACTAATGAAAATGATGAACTGATAGGGCAGCTTATCTCCTGGGCCATTTTTTTTTTCTTGTCAAATGGAGGCTAATCAAAATGTATTAGGAGTTAAAGCCAACACTCAGAGGATTTCACCCATTTGATTAGGAGGTGAACTCATTCTTGGAGAAAATTACAGTTTCGTGAACAACTGAAACTACAAAACCTAGTCAGCTGACAGACCGTCACATAAAATTAAACAGAAGGCAGCCACTATAATTATGGCAGAAATCTGGAATTATAAATTATATTGGGATTCTCCCCTTGCAAATTGTTAGAGGGCTTTGCAGAGTCTGGGCAAAGCGGCTCCCTCCTTCTATAATGGAAAATAAGACAAAGGACTAAGCAATTACCCCAGGGATACACTTATCTTTTGCTGCCCGTGTGTGCTCAGCATCTGTGTAACCACATGAGACACAGATCTCAAGGTACCAGCTGAATTTTCAATCAAATGTATTTACTTAAAATAATTGAATGAATTTTCTCAAATCATTAACTATAGTGAATACCACACTTCCTATTAACAATAAAGATGCCATACACAGTCTTCTGCCATGGATCTGAGTCCTTTCCTAATTTAAAGAAAGATATCTTCTCTGATAATTGAGGAAAATTGGGAAAAAGTCCTTCCCAAGCATTAGCGTTAAAAATAAAATTATAAACTAAAACCACTGTGCCTCCTCAGACAAAACTAGAGAACACAGTTCTTTCAATATTCATTTTGAAATGAATAACCATCCAGCACTAACACAGAAAGTTAATTCAACTGATAAATCTACATACTCTAGGTACACACTTTATGGACATGTACATTTCACCTGAGTGGACAGATTGATGGTAAAATGTTAGTAAAAGGCGCGGTTTTAATTCATAAGTGGGTGAAGACAAAAGTACATTTAAGGAAGTTAGATTTTACCTTTCAGTAATTATACCAAAGAGAAAAAGAAATAGCAACTAAAACTACTCCAGTGTCCTCTTTAACACGAGCATTAAATCACCCTACTGCTGTCCAGGCTAAATGTCAGGATTCCCAGAGACAAGGAATGAATATAGAAACCTCTCCCAAATCTTTTTTTTTTTTTTCTATTTACTGACCTGTGCCTTGTTCTAGCTCTAAACTATTTCTGAATTTTCTGTTATTTAAAAACAAAGTAGAAGTGAGTGTCCTTGCCAGGCATATATTTTCTAGTTTGGGAGGACTTGGGATTTTATATGTGTACTCAGAGCCATACAGCTACTATCAAATGTCTCAAATCACAGAATATAAAAGCATAAAATAATCCTAGCGATCATGTAGTCACATTTAGTTTATATGCATGAGGAAGGCCTAGAAATACTAAGCAAGTTAACCAAGTTTAATGAAAAAGGAAAATCTGAGTTTGCGATTTGTTGTTCGGAGAAAAAGAAATATTTGATTTGAGGACAAAAGTAACCCCTTATCTGGAAACAGCAGAGCTAATCAATCAGCAGAACATCTTAAACTTTAGGAATTCTTTTCAAGAATCATACTAAATAGGCAATTTTCAGGTGTGTCCACCATCAAATAGCTGTGGTAACAATTTCCTATAAGGTTGCCATGGATCAATTGCAGGTAATAGGCAGATTATTTTACTAGGAATTCTAGTTCTTGACCTCTTGTACCTAGAAAAATCAATGCCCTAGAGTACATACTTTCTGATTAATAAGAAAATTAAGCTAATTATTCAATGTAGAAAAAGGAATAATTGTAGTAGGATATTTACACTTGTCACAGTATTGTTTTTACTCTAAAATAATACCCTGAAAAAAACCTCTTGAGATCCAAGCCTTTATCAGTGAAAACCATACAAGTTGGCTCAGTTGCTCACATTTTTTAATAAGCATCAAAACCATGAATCTCTACATCATAGCAATGTTTCTTTTTGAGGAGGATATTATGACTAAGAAAATAACACGATCAAAAATGATCACAAATTTGATAAATTCATTAAAATGTACATGTACTTTATTCATCATTTTCAATCTCTAGGGTCTAGCTAACACTCAATACCCACTTCAGTTTTTGAGCCCCTTTTGAACAACTCTGGGATCCAGCCAATTGTTGAAAATCACTATGTTAACATATTTATTTCTCTTAGAATAAGTATGCTTTGTAAAAATTTGAATGTGACACTCAATTGTGAACAGGGTTTTTTTAGTGAAGATTAACAATATGATTTATTAGAATTCCATTTAACAGAATTACAGGTTTCAATTTTTCCACAGGCCCCTGAAATATCAATTAAAATATTACTATTTTACTTACCCATCATGTTGTACAAGCTCTGTGGGGCAAACTGCCTTGGCATTTTCTGAACTGCTTCCTTGTATACACTAAGTGCATCCTAATTTAAGAAACAGAAAAAGAGCTAAAGTACAGGGCTATTCACTGAAAATAAAATAACAACATCCTTCCAAAATCAAAATCTTCCACTGCTCTTTCTCAATGGTATTTAGAGGAAGATAATTAAGCCGTCCTTTGATATCGTACTGCCTCCATTTCATGAACAAAAATATTCAACCCAGTCCGTGGAGAAGGTCATATAAAAATCAGTTTAACAAGGAGTCAAATGTTACCATTGTTCTCTCAATACAAACTTTTCAGTTCCCATAGATTATGCAATAAAATAACCAGAAGTCACCCATAGTCACCTAAAATCTGTAGGTACTTCAAGTCAGGCGATCAAGTAGGATCTAAATAAAATATCAACTAACGAATCTTCTAGCTACTGAGACCTACTGAGATCATTAAATGCAATTATTTTTAAAATTCTATTTTCACCCTCACATTGCAGTCTTAATACATTGTGTAAGAGTGTGTGTGGGTGTCATTTGAGGAGGGAGGAGCCATACTGAATGGGAGAGAAGAAACCCATGCAGGCAGGCTTCGTGAGAGAGACAGGGAACACCGGACTGGGTCAACCTCCCAACTTCCCATACAAGACCCTGTCTCCATCACCTTTCCCCTCTCCCCAATTCAAAAACACAATAAAATTAGTTTTCATTGGGTTATTGTTTTAAAAAGAATGAAAAGAAACGAGTAGGATGTATATCAAATCATTTACTCAATACGCAGAGTACAAAAATGTATTTTTTTAACATCAAAAAAAGGATATAGATAAAAATAATAATGCGTCTTGAATTGTAAAATCAAAGAGATGGTGAGCAAATAAGCTTGAGCTGCAATGCATGTTATTTCCTTTTCCTGAGGAGTCATAATTACGCTGAGAAATTCACAGTGAAGAAATCTATTAAGTTTTGCTTAAGCAGTTTTTTTCCAAAAGAATTTCACCATAAAACTCTTTTAATAAAAACACTTATTAGCTTCTTAAATGATCAGTGTCCCTACAATGAGATCGTAGGTAGAAAACATTGAGACTAGATCAGAACAAGGGGGAGGAATAAGGCAGAGGTTTTGGCCTGACCTCATAGTGTCCCTGCTCATGATAGAGTTTCCCCAGGTTGTACAGACAGCTGGTGACCGAGCTCTTATGGGCATGAGGGTCCTTTAGGTTTTCGTCAGGGATCTCAGAACACTTCAGGAACGTGCGTCGAGCTTCTTCTGTCTTTCCTTGGTTCATTAGAATAATCCCGGTGTTTAAGTATGCAGCTGAGGGGACACAAGTGGAAATACAAATGTTGAGAAGATGATGTACACTATGGAAACAATAAAGTTATCTTTACTTTCGTTTTGTTTCTATGCATTATTTCTGACTTTAAAAGAAAACCAAGAAATAAATACCCAGGGAACAAATATACAAAAGAACAACAATGTAGTAAGAAGTACAGGTATCGCTGAAAAAAGATATATGAGTCTCTGCCTTCAAGGAGTCAGGATATTTTGAGCTTAATATCTAGATGAATAAAAGTTATATTTATCTTAATATATTAACATGATAAACAGGCACCAAAATATTAAAATTGAGAGAGATGTAATTGTTAAAGTCTCATAATTTGATTGGCAAGGATTCAGAAATAGAGTTACCATTTTTTTTAATCTGTGAGGCTTTAAGTCACCATTTTCACGAAGGGGGCGGGGGAGGGAGGGATATTTTAAAAGGACTTGAATGTTACTTACAAGCCAGCGTAGGCCTGCTCCCGATCGCCAATTTATAATAATGTAGTGCTTCTGCAAACCTGCTGTTCTCTTGCAGAAGTAACCCTCTGCATGAGAAAAACAGAAATTTGGAGACAAGACTGTATTACTATACATAAAATCAAATTTTCATTTTATATTTCAAAAATAAAAATGGTTAATGGGGCCATAAAAATGGCGAGGTACTATAAAAATAAATTCTAAATAGGAGGAAATGATTACTCAGGAGAGAAAACACTAGAGAGGGATCAGCTGCATTTACGTTACATTAGAAAGTATTAAGAAGTATTTTCAGAAAGCTCTTTGCCCCCACTGAAATTTCCCCTTTCCAGCAATCTTTTCTCTCCCACTAGAATTACAAACCACCTGGATTTCTCCTTGGAGCATGCACAGTTTTTCATCACTTCAGAAAGGAAACCTGTCTAAGGCCCTGATACACATATATACATTTAAACCTGAGACGCCTCTCCCACTGGCCATATTGCTTGGGAAATATTGGCCCATGACTGCTTGAAAGGCAAAAGGTAATCTGGATCAATAGTATAGAGTCAGAATCTTATCAGATTCCATCAAAGACTGAAGACCAACCACATTGTTATTTCCTTATTATTTGGATTTGGTCAAATAAGCTTAAATTTCAGAACACTGGGCGAAGTTCAGTTCACTGGTGTGAGACACGCTTTTGTCTACAGACCCTCAGACTCTGGGCCTCCCTAGGAGGCTCCTCTGGCAGTGCGTGGCCACATGGATTATCCCAGTATTTCCAGGCCCTGCCCTCATGACAAGTGAGAATCAATTATAATCATGTCTGTGAAAATACAGTGTCAAGGAACTGGACTAAGTTCTGAAAGTTCTCACAGAGGGCTTTCTGGCCTATCCCTATTCTCGTATAATCAGCAAGTGTTTTATAGACATTTGGCACCTCTCTTGGACCCGGGTACTACTGTCATGAACCTCAAACTGCAGATTCCACTTGCCAGCTCCTGAGGCCTCCAAAAGGCAGTAAAATGGAGGTTTGCAAAATGAGAAGGCCACTGATAAAAACTCATCATTTTGTAGAGTATTTTTTAAATACTCAGCTTTTTACTTAATGGGCATGATTGAAAAATAATGAAGTAAATCATTTTGAAATTAAAGTTTGCTCACATGTGTCATTAGCAGATATTAACCTCATTATTTCTATTATTTGTTAAAACAGTCATTTGAATAAATGAAACTGTTCCAAACCACATTAACAGTTACATATACACAGAAATGTACATATCTGTAGAAAATTTAGAGCAACAATTTGATAATGAAATTGATATGCTTTGCTGTTAAGTGTACTTTTCAGTTGCTAGGAACAAGGAAAAACAAAGCTCCCTGCGGTATTCAAGAGTCTGTGAAAAAGTTCAGTTGTCTTTAAAAGCAAGTAAAACTGATAAAGAACACTCACATACTTTCCAAAAAGGAATAATATTCTTTATAAAAATAATTTTGACACAATGCTTTCCAGTTAGCTAAGCTCATACACATTATCTCATTTCAGAAACATATCTACAACCTTAATTGTCTTTGTCACTTTCCTTTGAGGTTCAGATAAAGAGGTGTTTCTTCTTTGATACAAGGCCAATGTCATCAGACGAGAAATCCATCTTAATCCGAGTCTTTCTACTTTCCTTAGGAACTAAAGTCCTTCCACGAGCCCCTTTTTACCCAATATCTTCAATCTTTTTCCCCATTGCAACTTCCTTTCCCTTAAGACTACAAAAATGTTTGTGTGCCTCTTAGCATAGAGCGGAAGATAAAACCCTACCACCTTATCATTCCTGCATCCACCTCTTAACTACCACCTCTTACTGTCGTTCTTCCCCTCAAAGTCAGAGTTCCTCTAAGAATAGTCTGTGGCGCACATGGCCAATGACTCAAATCCCATTTACCCCTAAATCCAGTTTAGGCTCCTTCCCAGAATTCTGCTGAAATGTCATAATCGAATTTCCACTAATTATCAAACTCCCGAAATAGTTTGCTTATAAGAATCACCTACTCAACTGTAGCATCTGTGACTATTAAACCCATTTTCCTTCCTGAAACTCTTGTGTTTCCTCGGCTTCTGGAAAACCAGTCTTCCTTATTCTCTGTCCCTGACACTATCCTTCCAAGAATCAAGAAAAGTGTATCTTTATTCATATATTCCTTTAAAAGAAGTTGGTATTTCCCAGGTCTTTGTCTTTTTCTCCTTTTCTTGGTAAGTACTGTCTCTGCATGACAACATGCATACATGCAGCTCATATGCAGACTGTTCTCAATTCTAAACTAGCGATCTCCTTCCTGACATCCAGATCTGTTGAAAATTCAACAGCTTACTCAACCACATCAATCTAGGTGCTTATTAGCTGGAATTTCAAAACCAACACATCCAAAAATTGAAAGCAGTATTTCCCACTCAAAAATAAAGAGATAAATGAAAGAGATAAAAGAAGAAAAAAAATCTTTCCTCAACAATTAGAACCATCCTTTACATCAGTTGCTAAAATCAGAAACCTGGTTATCACTCGTGACTTTTCACTTACCCTCAAAATCCCAGGTTTAAAAAGTTTCCAAAGCCTACCAATTCTTATTTTACTTTCTAAGGCTCTTTACTCTGGCCCCTCAAGGTTCACTTTTACAGATCTGCAGAGCCCTTTTTACCTTTCCTGTCACCTAAATAACTGCAATCACCCACTAATTAGTCTGCACATAATTACATTTCTAAAGGACAAATATGCTGTTAGGTTAGACAAAAAGAACATGAGGAGATGAATGCATATCTTTGAAACTGTACCTAAAGCCCATAAACCTTGAAAGTGATGTATTCAGCCTCATGGGCTCCCCAGTACTAATGTATTACAGCCCTGTCATTTTCCACCTCATAAAATACAGCATGATAACCACACCTAGACAATCCTGTCCAGCCTGCCTCATTCTTTGGAAGAAACTAGTCACACAGAGGGATGGCGCAGGGAACATTTTTTAGTACAATATTTCTCAACCAGGGGTGACTTTGTCTCCCAGGGGACACTGGGCAATGTCTGGAGACGTTTATGGTTGTCACAAGTGGGTGGATGCTACTGGCATCTAGTGGGTAGAGGCCAGGTATGCCATTAAATATGTAAACATGTTAGAAGACACAAGACAGCCCCCCAAAGCAAAGATTTATCTGGCCCCCAATGTCAATAGTGCTGAGGTTAAGAAACCACATTTAGCATTTCATACGTACTAACTGCAACATATTTGTTCAGAACATAAGGTCCTCATGTCCTTGCTAACCACATACATGAACTATGTAAAGAATATAGAATGGAAAAAAGCAAACTACAGGGAATAAATTTTTTTTCAATAAAAATCTAATCTATCATCATTTCTACTGACTTTTCATTTAAAAAGGCAAAAAAATAAAATTTCTAAATTATTTTAAAAAGCATGCCCTTCCCCACTGCTGTCAGTACATACAAACAAAATCTCAGTGGCTCTTTGTAGGAGGTTGCCCTCAATACAGAACTGCCAAAACATACAAATCTTCTAGTAGAGCTACCTGCCTCAGGTTCAAACAAAGGTCTTTAAAAATTGTTGAAATCCGACATGTTCGAAAATTGGTATTAATAAAGCACATCAGCAGAAGTATACTTTTCAAGAATATGAATTGCAGTAAACTAAGCGGACATTTACTCAGAACATGGGTGAAACAGGATGTGGTTTACAGAGCCATGAGCTGTTAAGACCAGGGAAATACTAAAGGATAGTAGCTTTCTTTCTTTTTTCAATTTAATTAAAGCATAATTTGTGGCATTCCTACACCATATTAAACATTGAGAATAAGATTACCAAACAATAGGTAAATATTTTTTGAATGAACTATCTCATGGTGAAGACAGATGATCAAACACTCACAATACAGTGTAAATGAAGCATAAAGTGTTCTGGGAACCCACAAAAGGGACACTTTTCCACGATGACAGGTCAGGTGAGGTGTGTAGGGA